ACTGACACTTGACATTTGTTACCTATAAATTTTCCCATAAAAATAATACAGGCACTGGTGGGTGATAGCCTACACCTTTAATCCCAGCCGTTGGAAAGCAGAGGCAAATAGATCTCTGTGATGTCTAGGCCAATCTGTTCTACATACCAACCAGGACCTCATGGTGACAGCCTGTCTCTAATGAATAATTATGATATAATTATATGCCATAAATAATTAATAATAATGACATAGGCAATCTCCAGGAAAACTACTATATAACAGAGAGATATTCTGTATCTCTCACTATGGTGTGCATTTTACAAAAAGCCCACAACATATTTGGTGAAGAATTTTTCATTTTATATTAAAGCACTGAATACATTCAGAAATATCTTTGGCAGTATATTATTTAATGCATTAATCTATGGTTCATTCTCTTAAATAGCCCAATGAGCTAGTTCCCTTATTTATGCAGTGAGTGTGAGTGTCATATAAATGCTGGTCCTTTCACTCAGTGTGGTGATGCACACCTCTGACTCCTGCATTCAGGAGGCCAAGGAAGGACAACTCTACATTCCAGACAAGAAAAAGCACTTTAGTGAGGTCTACTTAGCAACTTGTGTCTCAAGATAATTTTTTTCTACTAACATAGTTTATTTTCTGGGAGGAAAGGGCAGAGGTCTCTTCCTCCCAAGGGCTTGGATTAAAGTTATGTGTCACCATACCAGATCTACTAACTTTATTTCTCTCCAGACTGCAGTATTTGTGTTATATTTGGTGTCTTGTGAAACAAAGTTTTCTCCTCATAACCTACCCAGAGTCTCTAAATCGCCCTGCTCACAGTTGAGAGCCCACATTCGAATGAAGATTCAAAAGTCAGTAGTGTTTCCATTCTAGTGAGTGTTACACCATAGTAATGCAATGCCTAACAACCATTTCCAGCATATTAATGAAACTCCAACCAATCTTTTCCAATGACAGTTACATAGAATAAATTATAGAAAAACAAAAGAGCAAGAACCTCTTTAGCAAGTTTTCCAAATTAAAAGAAGAAAACTGATTGGCTAAAATGATATTCAACCCCACCTCAGTCTAGCAGAGACTCCTAGGATAAACTGGGAATGTCTTAAACCCACCGGTAAGTCACTGACAAAGCTACTTCTTGCCAGCGGCAACCACCTCAATTTATATCAGTAGCCATGTGACTCTTCCCAAAGCATTCTCAAGGTCATGATGTAATTCCCACCATACCCCCCTTGATTGCTTGGTAACAAATGCAGAATTGCCAATTTGTTAGCACACATCCAAGGACTGACAACTTAATATGTGGTCCAAATACTGAGATTAGCTATTTCAAAGTCTTTGAACCCTCCCTCTTGAAATGTAAGTAGTGGCTACTCTGATAAAAGTACCTCAGGGCATGAAGCACATGAACAATTAGCCATCTGAGAAGCATTCTAGGCTTCAATCTAGTACTGCACTCTCTTCACACATAAAACAATGAGCAGAGACTGAAAATGCCCCTCCTACCCCAAACCACATTTATGAACTAAACGCTGTTTTAAAAGAAGTATGTGTCCTTTGGTAAGACTTCACATTTCCAGCTTTAGCAAAACATCAAATAAAATATTCTCTTTGTAAGTTTAGAAAAATGCACTATCCTAACCATGTTCATTTTAGGGCAATTTGCAAGTGATGAATCTAAGAGTTACTGGTAAACATAGTTTCTAAAGGAATCTAAGATCAGACATGAACCCTGACACTCTGCTAGTAGATATTTTCATATGCAGTCAAGGGGAAAAAAAAGCAACAAACAGCTACATGGTGAAGGCTATGTTTTTGCTGCCTTAAGATAGAAACAATGAACTAAAAACTAGTTTTTACTTATTGCTTATCAAGAAATGCTATATCTCTAATTACAATTAAAGACACAGAGGTGCATTTTTATGTGTTCAGAAAGCACACATCCAAAGAGGAACATGCTCCTGTTCCAGCTTTCATCCCAAAGCCCAGCCTTGTCTACTGTTGGAGTTTCTCTCTTCTCTCCACCCCTGCTTCACCTGTCTTAGACGTCACTTGTCTTAAGCCATTGGTTTGCTCACTGGCTTCCTTATTCCTTCCCACAGGTCCCTCATAGAATCCACTGCTCTTTTGATTCAAGTAACTCTGCACTATAGATATTCCAGCACCCATTACCCTCTTTTATTTTTAACCTCTAAAGTTAGGAGAACTCAAAATTTAAAGTTCTTGAACTTGTCCATACAGAAACAAATCATGCACCTTGTAGTACCTTTGACAGGGAAGTGGAACTGAAGTGAGTGTTTATCCCAAGGACACGTAAAGGCCTGAGAGCACGAGGGCACTGCCTGTCTAGCTTCCTACTATGGGGGCGGGGAGGAGGGAGGAGGACAGGGAGAGGGAGGGGGAGGGGGGAGAAGTGAAGGGGAAGGGAAGAGTGAGAGTGAGGGGGGAGAAGGAGGGAGGGAGGGAGGGAGGGAGGGAGGGAGGGAGAGAGAGAGAGAGAGAGAGAGAGAGAGAGAGAGAGAGAGAGAGAGAGAGAGAGAGAGAGAG